CATTATATTGTAGATCTTTTATTTACAAATCCAATGAAACTTCCTAAGAACATATTGGTCAATTCCTTTTTGTGATACGTTTCTTAATTTATTCTTATTTTTCGATAATAATTCTTAAATGTTTATACATATTACAGGGCTAGAAATTTTTTCCTAAAAAAGATGGAGATCTAAGTTTAAACGGAGTCTATTGTTTGTCAATTATATTTTTACGTTGGTATAAAAGTGATTGCTTGAAAAGTTTTTCAACCCCTTATTTATTGCTTTAAAGTAAGGGCGACTATATATACATCATCATTGGTGCTACAGCCCTATAAAAGAGCCTCGACCTTCCCAAGTCTATTACTCCAGTCAGTTCTATCCATTGCCAACTGGCATCCTCATCTACACCATCCCTCCATCTGAGTTTTGGACTACCCCTACTTCTACTTCTCACAGGTTGTGACATAAGGATTCTTCTAGGAGGATTGTTCTGCTGTGATCTTGCCAGATGTCCTGCCCATCTTAGTCTTCTTATTTTTATAAGAGATACTACGTCTTTACCACCAAATATATGTTTATATCTGTGATATATCTCGTAGTTGTACCTCCTTCTCCAAACACCATTTTCACAGATGCCACCGAATATTCTTCTCAGGATCCTTCGTTCAAATATAAGCAGGAGGTTTTTATCTGCCTTGGAAATGGTCCATGTCAACACTGGTTGTTTAAGGGTTTTGTATATGACTATATATACATACTAGTTTATAATTCCATTGTGGTACAAGATATCCAAAAACTTTATTGAGAAAAAATGTAAACAATTGATCCATTCGTTAGAGACGAAAATCCAACTGAACCTCTAAAAATGATACCAACAAGCTGAATTTTGTCGAGAAAATTAATTTTAAGATCCCAAAAAAGATGCAAAAATGTTTACAACTTTTACCCCCGGGCACCCTGTACATATACAAGCAAATATTTAAGACCTGGAGTTAAAAATGTATCTCAGAAACCTCTACCACTAAGGCTATAAGTTTTCCTGTCACCATTTAACATAACGCTGGGATTCATGAAAAATTTCGTAAAACCTATAAATAAAAATAGTAAAGGATTTCAGTACCATAAAATTAAATTGCTCCGAATCAGTGACGCGAAGTTGAAAGAAGGAATATTTGTTGGTCCGCAAATACGAGACCTTATGACAGATGTAGCTTTTAATTTTATGTTAAACAGAACAGAAAAAAGAGCTTGTGTAGCTATAATAGAAGTGTGTCATAATTTCCTTGGCAATAACTACCGGGAAATCATTCAAGAACTTATTTATGTTTATGAAGATCTAGAATGCAACATGTCACCCAGGTTTACTTTTTAGATTCTCACTTAAATTGTTTTCCTGAAAATCTGGGTGCCGTGTCAGAAGAGAATGGTGGAAGGTTTCACCAGAATATATTGCACATAGGAAGAGCTATAGTGGAAATGCCAGCAGCAATGCTGTTGATCGATGGTCTGTTGTCTGTTGGTCGATTTACTGAGAAACTCCAATTGACGCAACTAAAAGAAAGAAAACTACAAAATAACTTGGATTTGAAATATTTGAAATGATAATGAAATAGATTTAGTGAAATTAAGGGATATTATAAGGATAATGATTTAAAAATTTGCACGTTTAACGTAAGAAGCCTTTATCAGCCTGGAGCCACGGCTCTGCTCATACAAGAAATGAAAAGCCAAAGCAGATATTATTGCTTTACAGGAAATGAGGTAGGTATCCTGGAAAAAACACTGCAATATTTAATACAGTGGAAATTCATTTGGTACCGGATTCATTGTAAGTAGCAAGGTCAAACATAGTTTAATTGATTTCAAAGCTAATGATCATAGGATATGTCGAATAGCTTAAGGTTCGCTATATGCATCCATGCCCAAGGAAGAAAAGAGGATATGAAAAGACATGTTCTATGAGCACTAACAGAGTAAATGATGTCAAAAATGACATCAATAATAGAGAGACTTAATCCAAAGGTGAAGAAAATATTTTGCCCACCATCGAAAGAGACTACATGACTCTATGCAACTAGGTTTGTAAGAACAGTGAGTGACGCATACCTCACAGTCAGTCGAACGACTCGCACGTTCGTCAAAATCAAAGGAATGGTTCTCTATGATAACGGTTTGTTAGGTTCTGCTTAGTTGTGCGCCCTGCAGAGCGATAGCAGTGTAACCAAGTCAGAAAAAAGAAATCATTCTATCTATTAAATCATCTAACGGTGAAATTCTACATGATAAAAACTCAGTTCTTAACAGATGGGCATAACATTTCAGCGAACATCTAAATATAAACGATATTGAAGGAGGTTACAACATAGACAATCAACAAAATCTACAACGTCAACTACACAGTGAAGACCCAACAAAGAAGAAGTGTCAAATGCCATCCTAAAACTCAAAGACAATAAAGCTCCAGGAATCGATGAAATCTGTTCGGTGAAATTTTAAAAAAAGGTGGTGATCAACTTTTTGCAGCAATCCATAAACTAATAGTACTTATATGTCAGAATGAATTGGTACCAGAAGAGTGCTAAAGAGAATAATATGTCCGTTGCATAAAAACGGTGATCAACTGGATTGTTAGAACTATAGAGGCATTACTCTGTTGGTATCTGCGTATAAAATATTCATCAATGTATTGTTTGAAAGACTTAAACATTTTACAAAGGATATTCTTGGTTAATATCAATTCGGATTTACTGCTGAAAAGTCAACTTACACATCAAATTCTCTAGAAAAGTCAGTAGAATATAACGTAGATACACACCATCTCTTCGTCGATTTCAAAGCAGCCTGTGACAGTGTAAAAAGAACTGCCTTTATCATGCAATGATAGACTTTGCGATCCCACCTAAGTTAGTTAAGTTGACCCAACTAACAATGTAAAACGTAAGCTCATGCGTTAGAATTGAAGGAGAAAACTCTACGTTATTTTATATTAATAATGGTCTAAGACAGGCGGACGTGCTGGAGTGTCTCTCTTTAATATTGCCTTGGCAAAGGCAATCAGACAATTAAATATTAGAATGAATGGAACTATTTTTAATAGATCGACGCAAATTCTCGCATTCGCTGACGATATAGTTATAGAGAGCAGAAGTATAAGAGACATGGTGCAGTGTTTTACAAGGCTTGCGGACGCGACAAGTGAATTATTACTTGTGGTAAACGTGGAAAAAACCAAATATATGTTGGTTTCTAAAAACCTCCGAAATATCCAACAGAGAATTCAATTAAACAACCATACCTTTGAGCAAGTGAAAGAATTCTCATATCTTGGATCGCTAGTAAACGCAACAAATACGACAAGCGACAAAATAAAAAGACGCATAGCCATAGCAAACAGAACTGTTCACAGTCTCCAGAAACATTAACTGGTTTTGATATATGGGACTCAAACGTGAATCTTATCTCAAAATGACGAAAGACTTCTTGGTATTTTTAGGAGAAAAATTCTTAGAAAAATTTTTAGGGCCGTAAATGAAATTGAGATATGGCGTCGAAAATACAACTTAGAACTAGCTATACATCAGATATACACCGATCCAGATATTTTAAAATTCGTTAAAGTGCAGAGACTGAGTGCATATTACTGAACAACTAGATTCAGATCAAGAGATAAAATGTAGAATCGAGATAGCCCGCAAGACATTTTTAAAAATGAGGTCAGTCTTCTGTAATAATAACTTGCAACTTCAACTTCGAAAGCGCATGGTTAAATGCTACATTTGGTCAGTCCTCTTATACGGTGTCGAAGCATGGACATTAAAAATATCCACCATTAATCGTCTGGAGGCCTTTGAAATGTGGCTGCATAGACGTATACTAAAAATTCCATGGACGGTTATGCTGACAAATGTGGCAGTCCTTGAGAGAGCAAATGCTGCTCGCGAGCTGCTTGATAACAACACGTAGTAAGGGGATACCGATATAATATTCTTCAACTTATTATGATGGGTAAAATCGAAGGACGCAGAGGAATTGGTAGAAAGCAGGCCTCTTGGTTGAAGAATATCAGGGAGTGGACAGGAATAAAGAAAGCTGAGCAACTCTTTAGAATAGCTCGAGACAGAGACAGTTTCGCCATGTTAATCGCCAACGTCAAGGGGACTTGATAGGGCACGTTAAGAAGAAGAAGCAGAGACTTAAATGGGGTGGACATATTGTTAGGATGTCAGATCACGAATACACGAAGAGATTAACATTTTCAAAACCAGAGGGCACAAGAAGTAGAGGACAACCATGAAGGAGATGGATTGATGATCTGGAAGAAGACCTACAGATTCTGAGGATCAGAAGATGGAGGGAAGTTGCCAGGAATCGACAGGAGTGGCGACTTCTTTGTTAGTAGGCCAAGATCCACAACGGATTGTCGAACCACTTATGATCATGAATGAAATAGATTTAGAGAAATTTTCATGACCTGTACGTGAAAAAATAATATTTCTTACTGTACAACTTAAACATTATACTTTATAACTTTTTTATAGTTCTTACTCTAATAATATCGTTTTTTGATTAAATGAAGTGAGTGATCCCATAGTAAATTAGGCGTTTGGTGCACCAAAAATAACGTTATTATGCATGAAAACAAAAAAGAGTAAAAAAACATTTTTTTGCAGACCAGTATTATTAAATGAAGCTATCCAAACACTTCGTGTCACCTAAATGAACCATTTTTGCTTTTTCATGAGCGTAGATAAAATATTATATGCAATTCGTACTGAAAGTGTTTATTATGCTCGGTGTGTTGTCACATGGCGTCAAATAAACACTTAATTTTGCACTTGTTGATTTTGCACAAATAACTATTGCAATTAGATTAAATTGTATAATGTAATTTACACACTAAAAGTATTGATAATAAATAATAATTACCTAGGCAGGAAATAATAGTAGTGGTCATCGAAGGTTCTGTTACTACAGTACAGTATAGTCATCAGGGAAGGTTTCTAGGTTTTCTGTTTTACTTTTGGTAGAATGTATTGTTGTCGAATCTTTTGTGATGTATTCTACGGTGAAATCTGAAGTTATTTCATTATTTATTGTTGAATCTGGCGTAGATGTGGATGTGGCACCTAATATAGTTTGCTCCGTACTTTCAGTATCCCTTGTTTCATTTTCTATAGCGTTAGCTGTTCTAAATGTTGTTCCTTTATCAATGCCACTGTTTAAAGTAGTGGAATTTAAATCTAAGTCACTATCTGTAGAAGTTCGCTCGGTGGATTCAGTTTGCTTAAGGCCATTTGTCCAAAATCCCGAAGATAAACACAAAACTATCACTAGAATCACTCTCATGCTTATAAAACTAAATGTTCTGCATTTGCACGACGACTGGGTGGACTTACATACAAAAGGCGGAAGTTTTTATCAACAAATGGTTGCAGTATCACTTTATGACTCGTCCGATTGACCGCATGTTTTTATAAAAATATCTTATTGTTTTCCCAAGAAACTAGTCATATTATTTGATGATATTACACTAACTCATAGAAACGAAATAATAAATTCTTATCAGCTGATATCTCGAGCGAATAGATAAGAGAATAGTCTCTTGAGTTTCGCATTTTTATTTTTGTCAGGATGGGGTTCTGGGTTGACTGCACTGCCTGTGTTTTTAGAGGAATGATGGTAACTAAAGTCATATGTTCAGTGATAAACTATAGCCCCCTTAGAGACCGCAGTGATCTATTTTTAGAATACATCGACGGATTCTGCTGCATATAGCGACATTTTGGGAAATTAATCCAATTGTTTCTCATTGTTTGTTGACACTGAAGAAAGTTTAATGTGTCGGAAGTAGAGTATCTTATTAATTTTAATAAAGATGTGGTTCAGTTGATACTTAAACACTCGCTGAGATATTATTGTTGCTGGGAGAAACGAATACTTGATTTTTTCTTAGTAATTTTTAATATATAGAAAAAAAATTAATATACAGAAAAAAATATATAAACTCTTCAGAAAAAAAAATTGATATAATATAAATATAATTTTATATCATAGAATATCTTTTAGTCTTAAATCTGAAACTGATAATCTGGTTCTTATGACGTGTAGGGAAGAGTGGGTCACAGTGGGTATTATTGCCAGTGGCAGCTGGTGATAATTTTGTTCAGGGGACACTGATTTAATACAACCAAAAAAAGAAATAAATATTAAACAGAGTAAGGACTAAAACGAGAAGACTTTTGAGAAGAAAAAAACAGTACTAAAACGCAAATACAGCAGTTGGAGAAGAACATAGAACCGATCAGTCTAGACAGTTTTATAAGGACCTTGAGATACACCATCTTGTTTGTTTGTTTGTTTGTTTGTTTGTTTATTTAACGGGATGAACCCTTTTTCCTTACAAAAATTACAATATACACATATAATTAACATATAAACTGTAGTCATATATTACAATTTTAAAAAGTATTAATAACATTAATGTCTCAATTTCTTTAAACTATTCTTGAACGAGGACACGGATAAATTAAACAATTCAACACTATCTTGCAAATTATTGGCAGTTCTCAACATCCTTGTGATTGACTCACTTTTACCATAATTAGTGTGATGAAACTTTAGTCTAAACAGGTCAGGAGAGCGTGTTCTTCTAGAATTTACATTAAAAACAATTAATTCCAGCAGTTCCGGACAATCAACATAACCATTAAGAATTTTATGCAAAAAACGCAATTCACACTCAGATTCTCTATTTTCTAAAGTTTTCATATTAAGTTGACAAAGAATATAGTTATAATCACAGTTAGTTCTATTAAAACCCATTTTATACCTGCAAATTCTTAGGAATTTATTTTGAACTCGTTCCAACTGATCAATATACATATTATAATATGGATACCAAATAATATTACAATATTCCAAAATGGACCGAACTAGAGAACAATACAAAATTTTGAAAGTAAATATTGAAAATTCTCGGGAGTTCCTTTGAACAAAGCCGAGCATTCTATAAGCCCGCGATGTAATATTATTAATATGTCTATCAAACATTAGTCTTTGGTCAAATGTAATTCCAAGGTCTCTAATTTGATTTACTTCTGTAATCGATACTCCCTTAAGTATGTATGTTCTAGATAACTGATTAATTACTATTTATAACTGGGAATAAGCCACAATTAAAGATAAAAAATACGTTTATTGACGTTTCAATTTCCAATTCGGAAATCGTTCTCAAAATACAAACAGTAAATTAAACAAATTTTGTTTTTTGTTACATAGTGAAAAAATTCTTCTAATAATTTAATTTTATCTGACTCATTTATATTGACAATTCAGACATACATTATGCATTTTAAAGTAGACGACTTTAAAATGATATTGCCAATATTGTTGAGTTGCGCTCCTGGGACGACTTTACTATAAGATAGTTCATTCGATTACATGAAATCAACTTTAACTTGAGAATATCCGTCAGAAAAAATCATAGCATGTAATTCATCTTTAAAAAGACAAACACATGACATGATGACAGTAAAATTCTCCTGTTAGTGATTCCATAGTAAATTATGAGGGAAAAACCAGGAAAAAAAACCTCATAATACTATCCCGACATTGTAAGTATTTGTTCGTGAATTTAGTTTACCTTCAACAAACATCAAAATTCTGATTTTATATGTTACGTTATTTAAAAAACATAAATGATGTATCCTCTATATGTTACTGACTTACTAATACTGGTATTTTCTTATTAATAACTTCCTCTTTCAATATTGGTAACCAGATCCTACTACATTCTGCCGAGGAATTTGCGACACAATTGGCCTCATTTAGCATAATTAGAGCCGCTTCTTTGATTTTTCTTTTTTACCATCCTGTAAATTGATGGATAGTATTATGAGGTTTTTTTCCTGGTTTTTCCCTCATAATTTACTATGGAATCACTAACAGGAGAATTTTACTGTCATCATGTCATGTGTTTGTCTTTTTAAAGACGAATTACATGCTATGATTTTTTCTGACGGATATTCTCAAGTTAAAGTTGATTTCATGTAATCGAATGAACTATCTTATAGTAAAGTCGTCCCAGGAGCGCAACTCAACAATATTGGCAATATCATTTTAAAGTCGTCTACTTTAAAATGCATAATGTATGTCTGAATTGTCAATATAAATGAGTCAGATAAAATTAAATTATTAGAAGAATTTTTTCACTATGTAACAAAAAACAAAATTTGTTTAATTTACTGTTTGTATTTTGAGAACGATTTCCGAATTGGAAATTGAAACGTCAATTAACGTATTTTTTATCTTTAATTGTGGCTTATTCCCAGTTATAAATAGTAATTAATTTACAATGCCACAAGAAAATAGCTTCAGAACATATATAACTGATGTTTAGTATTTCTGGAAAACGTAATTTTATAGCACTTTTTTATATTTAAATATAAGGCATTAATGTCACACCAACGAGATAAATTATTTAAGTCAGACTGAAGAGCATCCATATCAGAGGTATTTTTAATTGCTTTAAAGTTCTTTATGTCATCAGCAAACAATAGAAATTCACTATTATTAATTACTGATGACTGATGATATATCATTCACAAACAGATTAAATAGAAGTGGGCCTAAGTGAGAACCTTGAGGTACACCCGAAGTAACATTAATCGCTTCAGAAACAAAATCACCATATTTTACTATTTGTGAACGATCTGTTAAATAACTCGTGATCCAACCCAATAAATTATCTCCAATTCCGTATCCACGTAGTTTAGCAATTAATATTTCGTGATTTACCCTGTCAAATGCTTTGGCAAAATCAGCATATATGGAGTCAACTTGGTTTCCCGATTCCATAGAATCAACAATGAAGTTTGAATACACAATAAGATTTGTACAAGTAGATTTATTTTGATAGAAACCATGTTGTTGACCGAGAATTAAATTTTTACAATTGTAGGTTAACATATGGTTAACAAAAAAATCAAGCAACTTTGGTAGTTCAGACTGCAAACAAACAGCCCTGTAATTTTCAACATTATTATTTTGACCAGATTTAAAAATGGGTTTTAAGAAACTCACTTTCCAAAAATCAGGAAATGTAGAAGAAGTTAATGACTTATTGAATAATAACTGAATAGGTTTAGCAAGAGTGAATACACATTTTTTAATAAAATACATTGATATACCATCTGGACCCGCTGTCAGTTTCCACGGATTATTCTGTATCTTATCAATAATATCCTTAACATTAATTTAATAATTATTAGCATTAACATAATTTTCGTACTTAAAATTAGGAATCTGATTTATTTTTCCTTTATTATAGACAGTCGAAAAGAACCATAGTCTTGAGATATACAATCTTATTAGAGAAGTCTGGAAAAGAAAATAAATACCGAAACGCTGGCAGGAAAGCCATACAGTACCTATCCACAAGAAGAAAGACAAACAAATATGTCGGAACTATAGAGGAATATCGTTAATAAATCCTCCTCTTCAGTCCTAATCCCTTTTGGGATGTGGTGACACCATCAGGCCTTTACAGTTTTTTCCCTCCATCCTTCTCTGTCCTGGGCTAGTTGTTCGGCTTCATAGAACCCTTGGTCAATCAATATTTTTGTTTGATCTACCCAACGGCTTGGAGATCTTCCTCTAGGTCTCTTTCCTTCAACTATACCCTCGACTATCAGTTTTTCCATCGTAACTGTTCTTCTAGCAATGTGTCCAAAATAATGCAAATATCTCTGTTGTGTTTGTTTAAGCAATCTATCCTTTACTTTAAGTTGTTCTAATATCGATACGTTAGTGCGATTCTCAACATGCGGCGATATACCCACATTTCAAAAGCGTTCAGTTTATTTTTATCCGCTGTTTTTAAGGTCCACGTTTCGGATGCATATGTGGCTATGGGAAAAATAAGCGCCCTTACCAGCCTTAGTTTTGTGTGTATTGTTATGCTAGAATTTTTCAAAATCCGTTAATCAATACAACCTACAAAGTTATATCCATACTGTCTAGAAGACTAAGTCCATACGCAGAGGAAATAATAGGCGACTGTCAAAGCGGATTCAGACCGGGAAGGTCGACCATAGATCAGATATTCTTCTACGCCAGGTATTGGAAAAAAACTAGGAATGTACACCTCGATGTACACCAAATCTTCGTGTACTTTAAACAAGCTTACGATTCTGTTAGCAGAGAAGCATTGTGGGAGACCATGGTAGAAATAGGAGTACCTGGAAAGCTGGTACGATTAGCACAGGTGAGCACAGAGAACGCTTCCGCACGGATCAGAATTGGCAGCACCACGTTGGAGGAATTCCTCATTGTCACCGGGCTTAGAC